AAGTCTTTTGCATCAGATTTACCCAATGCCAGATGTTCTTTCATTTCTTTTTTTTTTTTTAATTTTATTTATTATTTTTTGTGTGTGTGCCGTCAAATCAGATCTGACTGATACGGGAGGAGATTGCCCCCCCTTCTCCAGCAGAACATCTGGTGGATTCGAACTGCATATCTCTGGGATTGCAGTGCAGCTTGTGCCATCAGAGCTCCCCATGTTCTTTCATTTCTTGTTTGCTACTTACACAGGCATTGATTGTGGATGCAGGTATAAAAAAAAATCTTTGTCAACCTCAATATTTTCTCATTTGTTATGATTTTTACAATGAAGTGAGATTTTTTTTAATTGTCATTATTTTCTTTATATTGAGATGGACTCCCTATTAAAGGATGTTATAATCTTTGCTTTTTATCAGTAAGTGCTTCAAGGTTGAGTCATCTATTTATTGTGAGTTGTAAACAGTCTTTCACCAGGCTTGATGCCACATTCTTCTCCATATAGCCCAGCTTCTCAAATTATTTGCAAAATACTCAGATTGAATAAATATAGTGAAAGGATATAGCCCTAATATATCAACAGGGCTATCAATCCTAATTAAAAGGATATCAATAATGATGTCCCTTGTTCCACATTCTCTTCTGAATCTGGCTTAAATTTCTGGCGGTACCTTGGTGATACATTGTTGCAACTCTTTTTTAATGCTCTTTAGCAAAAATGTACTTATGTGTTACATTAATGATGTTGAAAATTTCTATTAGATCACTTTTATTTGAAATAGGCACTTTCAAAGGATCTCTTCTAGCCAGGTAGCTGTCTTCCATATTCTTGGCATAGACAAGTGAGTGTGCTCAGTGTTGCATCCATTTGTTGTTGAAACATCTCAGTTTGTATTACATCAATTCCTGGGGCTTTGTTTTTTGCAGTCTCTCAGTGCAAATTGGACTTCTGTCTTCAGTACCATGTGTTCTTAAACCATATGTTAGCTTTTGGAATAGCTGTGTATTGGCCAAATCTTTTTGGTACAGTGACTCTGTATCTTCTTTTGATGCTTTGTGCTTTATTTAATTTTTACTGATAGAATACTGATAGTGATACTGCAATTTGCGACTTGAGTACTATTCTTTAGTTCTTTCAGCTTGAGGAATACTGACTGCATTTTTCTGTCTGGTTTTCTAACTCCATGTTTCCTAATACCTTACTTCTCGAGCTGTCCTTTGAAACCTGTTCAATTCTTTTATCACTTCTTCTATTTGCTTTATATACTCTGCATTCAAAAGCAAGTTCATAACCTCTTCTGACATCCATTTGGCTCCTTTTTCTTCCTTCGTTTCTCTATTTCTTTATTGTCTTTTACTTTCTTCATGTGTGATGTCCTTTATCCCACAAGTCAGCTGATCTTCTGTCATTAGTGTTTAATGCATCAAGTCTATTCTTCAGGTGATCTGTCTCTAAATTCAAGTGAAATATGTCAAGATTATGCTTTGGTTCTTTCAAAGTTATTTAAGTTTTTGGATTTTCTTTTAGAACTTTGACTGAATTTTATATATGAACCATGATGATCTGTTTCACAGTTAGCTCCTGGCCTTATACTGACTGAGGATATTGAGCTTCTTCATTGTCTGTTTCTACAGACATAGCAAATTTGATTTTGGTGTATTTCATCCAATGAGGTCCATGTATATAACCACTATTTATATTCTTTAAAAAAGTTATTTGCAATGAATAAGTCATTGCCTTGACAAACTCCATTATATAATCTCCAGCATTGTCTACCATGAAAGCCACAGTTCCAACTATCAATATTTCTTTTTTGTTTCCAGTCATTATTAATGCATCTTATTTATATATTTGGTCCATTTCACATTGCAAAAGCTTATAATAATTTTCAGCTTCTTTAAATTTGGCATTAGTGGTTGGTACACGAATATGAATAACTATTATATTACATTACCTGCTCTTCCTTGTAGGAAAATGAACATTATCCTATCACTGACAAAACTAAATTATAAAATGAATACAATTTGTGTTCAATTCCCTCTTCAGATTGACAATCCTAGCATAGTGGACCATATAATTGTCCAGTTCTAAATGGCCCCTACTTGTTCATTTCAGCTCTCTAATGCCTAGGATAAGGGAGCTCTGGTGGCCTAATGGTAAGGAATTGCATTGCCAATCCAAAGGTATGCAGTTCAAATCTATCCACTGTTCTGTGAGAGAAAGATGAGCAATCTCCTCTCATGCACTTTACTACTCACTGAAACCTGCTAGCGGGCGAAGTATGTGTCATTTCCAACTCCACAATAAACTACAATGCCTACGATATAGCTCTTCAAATGCTCCATTTCTTTTTTAATGATTTACAACTTTGCCTGATTCATACCTCATACATTTAAACTTCTAGTTATTCATGAATGTTCCTTCTCATTTTGAGTCATAGCATTTATATAAATATCTGTAGTGAAGCTTCTACTTCATGAAAGCAATGCACAAGCCACCACAATATAACAAATTGACAGGTGAATAGTGGCTTTCAGAGTTAAGACTTGAAATACTATTTCTTTCTTGAGAAATATGATTTCCTAAAAGAATGATGAGCTACATAGGATTCTGAGAAATGGGTTTGTATTATCAGTAACCTACTTTTAAAATACTAAGTCTGCTTTTATTAATAAGTTCAACCCATATCAAAGTCTTGGGAATTTTGAATCCAGTTTCAAAACTAGTATCAGGGACAAGAGGCTGCTGGATCTGAATTTCCTATTTCCACAGGTGGGGCCAGGTCCTTGGAACAACCTCCTCTGGCCTAAGAGCCGCTCTAATACCTTCCCTAAGTGGCAGACAGCTCTGCCTCTGAGCCCTGTGCAATTGGGAAAATGAATGCATAGGTATAAACTGGACTCACTGACTCAGTCTCTCTGGCTATTAGAATGAGATAAGAAAGACCTTCCTAGATTTACAGCCAAGGTTACTTAGGCTACAGAGAAAACATTGCCACTATGTCACTTAGGGATCTATGACAAAGGTGGACAAGAACCACGTTCTTTGTTCCTAGGTCAGTACGCTTCCTCTCTGTGAGGCTACCCAAATCATCTCTACCCAGCCCATCCATCACTGTCCTTGCCACCTCTGCTGTCAGAGGAAGTCACTGCACCCCACAACCCTCCCTTTCCATGAATAGACAAGGGACACTTAGAGCCTGTGGGCAACCACATTGAGTGCCTTGGAAGGGCCTTGACATTCTCTCCACAGCCCTAATTTTGGAGACCCTCAGTCAGGAGGGAAGTAATTTATTTTCCAGTGACTTGTCTTCACTTTGGAATCAGTGGGATGGAAAATTTGAGGCCTAACTCCTGGACAGGGAAGAAAAGAGAGAGGCACAATTTTAATTTCTTTTGTAAGAAAATGGTAGGAAATGGGTGAGAGGGAACCTAGAGATTCTGAGGTAGCATTTATTTTAGGATGTGATGTAAAGAATCGATTTTGGAGGGAACGACTGTCCAAACATTAAAGAAGAAAGGAAGAGAATGGGATCCAGAGTTAGAGGGCAAACCCAACCCAGTGGAGAGGAGACTGAGGAAGAAGGGCATGGGGTACCAGAAGTGATGTTGCCCAGGAGAACTTGAGGAATTGGGGGTGGAGTCTTCCAACTCCCATTTCCCGTCACCTGAGAGATGCCTGGGGTCAGGGTAACAAAGCGAAGAAGCCATTCTCAGAGGCAGAAGGTTGTTCTCTTTTCAGACACAGAAGCCTTTGCTTTGTCACGTACACAGCAGGGAAGCCTCTCAGGGACAGGAGACTGATGAGGTCGTCCGCATCTTGGGTCCTGCAACTCAGAAAAGTCATCAACTTTACAGCCAAGGAAAAGGTGACGCAAGTCAGGTTGTCAGTGAGTTTGCAGAGGGTCTGTGTGGTGTTGTGACAGAGAAGTGTATGTTCTGTTCAGAATTGGCTGAGCTGTATTTTTATTTTTCCCCTAGAGCTTCGTGTCATTACATAACGATACAAATGTCCTCCTTTCTGTGACTTCTCAACTACCTTGCTTCCACTCTTTCCTCCATCCTCTAAGAACTTTGACTTTGGCCACCAAAAAGTTTCTCCTTTTTTTGAAAAAAAGCCTGGCACTTTGAGTGAGCAGGCGTGCCTTGTAATTTCCTCCCTCTATAGTTGCTAGTGCTGTGCTCTTTGTTCTTCAATATCTGATCTTCACCACTTTAAATCTTTTTCTAGTCCTTGCTCAGGTCCTGCTTCTTACAGGAAGCTTACTCTGGTATCTGCACCAAATGACCTCTCCTCTGGACACTAGACCACTTCTGTCTACATCTCCTGTGGTAATGTTACATTCTATCTTGCATTTTAACTATTGAGGGGGATATATATTTTTAAAGATAATTGTTGTTCTACACTAAACAGTCAAGTCTTTGAAGGCTTATACATTTGTCTTACTCATTTTTGTTGCCTAGCAGCTAGTATAGTGGCAGGCGTTTAAATTAAAATGCATTAGCTACATTTGTTAAACCTGAGATCTCTGGTGGCCCTTAGTCTGGATGGAGTAGCACGTCTAACCCAAAAGGGCTCCACTCTGGAGCTTTAAACTGGCCAGTAGTAACTCCTTGGGAGAAAGATGGTCAATCTCCTCCCATGTAATTTACACCCATAGGAAAAACACTGGAGAGTCAGCTATGAGCTCTGACTCCACAGGATTGAGAGGGTTTTTTATTAAACAGATAAATTTATGTGCTGGGGTTACAGAGAGGAGTAAGAATGTGGCTGTCTGCTAGGGGCTTATAGTCTGGAGAGATAAAAGATGTATTGCAATAAGAACTAATTTAATATCAAGTCTAATTAACAGCATAAGATCTATCATATGGAGGGTTTAGATGAGAGTGATGGGAGTGTTGTGCAAAGGAGAGGGTATTCAAGTTGAAGGAAGGAAGGAGGTGAGACAGTGCATAGAATATTTGCAGAAGGCAGTGAGTCACCGTGGGGGCTGATATGTAGGAAACATGAAGGTAAGTAAGGGCAGAGAGGTGATAGGAACACTGGGTCACAGAGCACTGTGTCTTTCCAAGGAGTCTGGATTTTATCCTGGAGGCAACGAGGAGTTACTGTAAGTTCCTGAGGAGGGGTAAAACAAACACTAAATGAAGGGTAGGAATAGCTCAACGTTATCTTTTGCACAGACACCACTCTATAGCCTGGGCCACTGTAGGAAAATCTTTAGTTGGTGCTGAGCACACCTAGCCTGTGCAAGCCATCTTTTCGCAGGATTTTCCCTTTTAAAGACAATACACCCAAAGAACACTTGGTTGGACTCCAGAAGTCTGCCCTGCTCTCTGAAAGTGTTCTCAGACCCATTCTATTGGGCACACATTCTGTTTGGGCTTTAGCACAAAAACTCTACTGTTCGGACTGACAAACACTCCTGTTTCTCACTAAAATTTGAACTTTCTGTGCCCTTCTTAGGTAACCATCCTTCTCAGGGGACAGTATTTTAAATACAAACTAGCAAAGGCTTTAAAGTCAGTCATTACTAGGCTAAAATTGCAGTTAGGGAGTCTTAGTTTCCCTATCTGAAAAATGGGATGATTAAGCTTATTCCAAAACATTAAAGGGGGCGCTGGTGATTTAGTGGCAAGTTGTACGGCCAATACAAAGACACACAGTTCAAATCCACCAGCTGCTCTGCAGGAGAAAGATGGACGGTCTCCTCTCATGCAATTTACTGTGTCTGAGGGTCAGTTATGAGTCTGTTCTGACTTGTTCTTAACAATAACAACAAACAAACCGTTAAAATGGGGATGAGTATGGAGATTGCCTAGTTGCTGCCTGTCATGTAGTAGGTGCTTAGTAAAAGCTACTCTTTTCCGTATTGGTGGAGTCAAATACAGATGGTTGTTCTACATAAAAAAGGGGAAGCTATTCTTGGAGTGAGCAGTTGTTAAATGTTTTAAAAGGATGGGAGACATTCTGCTTGGACTATCACCATGCGTCATTGTTAAGCTGACCAACCCCAAGCCTTTCTTTGGGGAATTATCAACCTAACCTAAGTCTCTCCAAGCTTTCACTCTCTGTCCTCTGCTTCTCTCTGAGCAGTTTACATTTGTGGTGGAATCTGACAAGCCGGCACAAGCCCAGTCCTGACTGACTGGGGACATTGTTGCGAGGACTTAGCAACGGAAGTTACTGTTGCAATCTGCCCAGGAAGCTGGAGAACCTATGGTCCCATCAGTCCCTACACTAATGTGTTGGAGGCTGAAGGCTTAGGTTTCTGGGCTCCCTAGAGTAAAGGGAAAACTGTCAGGGAAGAGACACCCTTTAACGCCATGAAATCCAGTTACGGATAGGTTTGAATGGTACCAGGAGGAAACCGGCTCAAACTCCCTGTTTGGAAGGGAACAAAGCCGTACACCTTTGATGCATGTGGATTTCAAGGATGCACAAAGCTGCATGGTGGAAGCAGAAAGGAGGGGTGTGTAGGGAGATTACTACTTAAAGGAGCAGAGATGGAGGCTTGAGGGGAAGATGGGTCAGGCAATGAGCCAATATACGTAAAGGCCCAGAGTTAAAAATAATGATGTATGATAAAGCGAAACCTAAAAGGTTTGAGATGTGGTTGAACCCCCAGGATGCTGAGTAGTATGGAGTGCGGAGAGGTCAGTTACACCTGAGCCTCAGAGAGGTGTATGCCTATCAGTTCTGGAACTTGGAAATTTAGCCCCCCCCCCGCCTCGGGGCAGAGAGTCAAGTTCTGGAGATGACTCGGGTTTCTTTCTTTCAACAAATATTTGTCGAATATTTGAGTGCCAGGGGCTGTGGCGAGCAGTGGGAAACAGAGGTAAATATTTAAGTCAAATCTTCCTTGAGCGTTCCCACCACTAGTAAGAAAAAAGGAAACTGAGGGCTAGTCTGAGTCCGGCCAGGGCCGTTGGGGCTGCGGGAGGGCAACATGGTGCAGGGCAGCGGATTAGACGCCCGGACGCACGCGGGTTCACCCGCCTGACCATCGCCCGCCTGCGCGCGCCACCGGCTCTCTCCACCGCCCCGCCCGGCTCCGCGCCCGCCCCCAACTCAGCACGCACACGTGGGTTCCCGCACGTCCGCCTGGCTCCCCCCTGACGTCAGCCTCGCCGTGCCATTTAAGGCCCCTCCCCGGCGCGGCTGCGAGTCCCGGAGCTGCAGCTGCAAAGTCAGGATTTCGCCGCCTCGCGCCACCGAAGCCCGCCCGACGTGCATTCCCGGTACAGTCACTACGGTCGGGGCGGGAGAGCGGGCTGCCTGGAGCTCTGCTCGCCGGGCGCCCGCGGCCCCTCGTGGGTACCGCTTATGGGGACCTGGGTGGTGGCTCACGCCATGCGCCGAGGAAGTGGCCGCACCCGCTTCGGGTGGAAAGCCTGGTGGATGTGGAAGGACTAGGAGGTGGCAGAGCTCCTCCGAGAGTTGTGAAGGGTGGGGAAATCAGTACACAGGCTGAACTCGAGGTCCAGGGAGCCGGAAGAGCCCCAGTCGGGGCCAGTTTCTGGAAGCTGAAAAGCCACTGGACGCCTCGTGGTCCCATTTTGCCTTGGAATGTTCTAGTAGTTGGCTCCATGGGGGCGGCCACTGCCTGCAGATTATAGGGAGCTCTTTACGCAGATGACATTTTTTAAGCAATTGCTGGTGTATTCAGGTCTGTGCTAGGCGCGAGGCATGCAAAGATGAAACAGGATTCCAACCCATTGGCACCTCAGATCATCTTGAGAGTAGGCTCATCCCCTACTCTCCTCTCTTGGTAGTTGGTAAAGCTCAGAAAGGTTTAGGCGTACATACACGTAAAGTCACAGCTCGAGGTGGTACAGTTGAAGAGCAGACTCCCTTTTGCAGGGCTCACCCTATTGGACGCCCCCTCCTCCAAATTTTGGTGCTACTCCGCCTCTACACTGAGGCGGGTGGGGGTGTGTTGTCCTGGAGGCCACCACCTGGTGAAGCCAGGAGATTTCTGCTAGAAGAAAACCTCCCTTCCCCCACTTGGCTGCAGAAACCTTCCTGGGCTGTCTAGAAATAGCAGTGATTTGTAAGGAGAGACCCGATTCTAGTTTGGTTAATCCGGGCTGCTTGCCTGGAGGTCTTCGGGCTATTTTTGCCCTTTGGGATGGTGTCAAAATGTAGTTCTTTCTGGTTGCAACCTGTAACGTTTCTCCAGTGAATGTAATACAAAATTGGGTGGGATTAGCAGAAATAAAAAAAAACCCCAGCCCCCTACTGGTAAACTAGGGTTCCACCAGGTAGTTGTTAAATTTAAGATCTGCAACTCTTTCGGCATTTCCTGTGCTTAAAAAATTTCCTCATTCCGGCCTTCATGACTTTGCAACAGGGATTAGGGTAGAAGCCACAAGAGACGCCTCCCTCCCAGTTGGTTAATAAGCCCCTGGCTTCTGGTGTTGCGATTTAAAGTCTGGCACTGGCCCTGCGCCAGGCCAGGCTTCAGTCACGTTGCTCGTGTCTGCTCCTGTCCATTGGTTCAGTCTAAAGTCTGGCTCCTGAGTGTCCTCCCGCTGACTCAGAGCAGGAGAGTTCCTGGTGGCCTCTGCTCCCGCGCCCGGCACTGTGCCGACCTCTTGGTAGCCTGTATGCCGTGCAGGCTCCCCCCGCTCCTGTCCTGCGCGTGCGCATAGGTTTCCCCGGGGCGCCTATCTCCTGGACCATGGCCGAGCGGGACAACCCGCGGGCTGAGCCTAGAGATCGCTGGTCTGCTCTCCGCCCTGTCTTCAGTCTTCAGGCAGCGGGGGAGGGGAGAGGAAGTGAGCACGCAGGCGCAGAACATGCGTTTAGCACTCCCTGTGCAGCCGTTAAGGGCGTTTACACGTGTCTTCTTCTGGTCCTTACTCAAGGGACTTAGAGTGTATGAGGAGCCCTGTAAACTAGAGTTGAGAGAACAGTGCCCAGTCCTTTTGTCTGAGGATAGGCCAGCCCCACTTGGGGTTAATAAGCCAAGATGAATGCGTCTTCGGGAGGCTATACGTACACGCAAACTTCTATACTGTTTTTCCACGCCAAGGTGAGGTTCTCTAAACCAAGATCCTGGCCAGCTCATGCCCTAGTATTAAACCTTTGAACTCTCTCCTTAGAACGCCATGTTATAATTCCTTTGTAAAACCATTCTGTGGGATTTATTGGTAAATCCCCCAGAAGGAATGAAAACTTTTCCAGAACTGCTTGCTGTTGGTTAATAAATTCTTAAAGAGGGTGCAGTGATAATACACGTTTTCCCCTTACAGGTACCTTCCTCATCCAAATCCAGTATGGCTACTCTCAAGGATCAGCTGATTCAGAATCTTCTTAAGGAAGAACAGACCCCCCAGAATAAGATTACGGTTGTTGGGGTTGGTGCTGTTGGCATGGCCTGTGCCATCAGTATTTTAATGAAGGTAAGTGAGAGCCCATCACTCTGGAAGCTAAAGACTGCTTGATATCTCCCCCCCCACACACCATCACCCAGAATATATCACCACGCTGTAGAGAAAAAGATTAATCTGTACCCACTTAAAAATCTATATGTGAACCTAAATTTTGAAATAGGATGCTGCACTGAAAGATACTGGAACTAAAAAGTATGAAAAGTTATTTTTCTGGAGGCCCAATTCCTTGAATTCCCTATGCTGTACTAACACATGTGTGGAGTAGTGCAAAGAAAGAACCCACACTGATTTTTTTTTTTAAATTCTTTTGAGAATTCACATCTTCTCAAGTCTTTTAATTAAAACATTTTTTTAATTATTTGTTTGTGTACCATCGAATCAGATCCGACTGGTACAGGAGGAGATTGCCCCGCCTTTTCCAGTGGAAATTCAGGTGGATTCAAACTGAAGGCCTTTGGGACTGAAGCACAACTTCTTGCCACCAGAGCTCCCTAAATTCTTGTTATTTCTAACTTGAAAACTAAAATTCTTTTAAAGTAACTTGAAAACTAAAACTCAAAGTAATTTTTAACTTGATACATACATATTGTAAAATTAAAATCATATAATGGGAAATGTCAGGTTTTCTATCCTTAAACCTTATTGTGCCCATCTTTGGATAGCACTTTTTTTCTTTTCGTCCCAGTTATAAAATTTAAAACATGTGAATTAAGAACATTTTTTGTAGTAGTCATATTAAAAAAGAAATTGAGGCCGTTTAATATTACTATATTACACAATTTTAAACTCAGAGTTCCTAATAATGTTTTCAAACATGGCACATTTGTGAAGATAGTGAAGGCCTGAGGGGTGTTGCAGTCTATTGTTCAGGGTTTCTGTGAGTTGGTATTGACACAATGGCACTTAAAAGCAACAGTAATAGTGAAATGATGTATTTTGGTCTAAATTTAAATTTAAATAAGCAGGACTTGAAGGCAGAAATGGGTAGGTAGCATCAGTTAGTCTTATACCATTCTTACAAGCAGCCACATAATGCAGCAGTTGTTATTACTGGATCATGCACAAACAGCCCTGGGGGCACAGTGTTTTTTATGTGTTGGTCTGCTAACCAGAAGGTAGCATCCTCCAGCCACTATTCATATTCACAGTCTTGGAACACCAACAGAGGGTCATCATCATTAGTCTGAATCATCAACTCAGTGCCCGTGAGATTGGATTGGATCATATATGGAAGGCATCACTTTTCTTTATTAAGTGCTGTTCTCCACTCTTATAAAAACCCTATGGTCTTTTTCTGCAATGGCCCCTGACTCAGATGGGATTAAGAAAAGGTAACTGCTAGGTGGCCTAGTGAGAAGCTGCGCTGCAATCCCAAAGGCATGGTTCAGATTTACCTGATGCTCCACTGGGGATGGAGGGGCAATCTCCTCCTGGGCCAGTCAGATCTGATTCAATGGTACACAACAAGAGAAAAAAAAATTAGAAGGCAAAAATCTCCATTAAAAAAAAATTAACTGCTAGACTACTCATTGATGCTAGTTTGGAGATAAATATGCAGCCATTATAGTCTGTGGTGACAACCCACATCTCATTTTTATTAAATCTGTTGTTGGTGTACCTGTCTGAGATAAACCTATGAATTTAGCAAAGGTTCAATAGTAGGATTTTTTAATATATCTATGTAAAACAGTAAGGGTTTCTCTTTGGAAAATAAATAATATATAAAGGAATGATCCTAAAGATCATTTGTTAATGCTAAATCTTGGTTCTAGTCATTATCACCTGCTTAATGAATAGCAAACTAAACTCTTAGTCAAACTGAGTTTGACAGTGTAAACAGAAAAATCCTACCTAATTAGAAGTTATTTTAACTTGTACCAATTCAGTGTTCTGCTTACATAGCAGTAATTGTAAAGCTCCTGTAGTCAGTTATGTTACCCTTGTGTGGGTCATCTTTTTTTTTTCTCTTTAAAATTTTATCATTTATTATTTCGTGTGAGAGTGTGTGTGTGTTTGCGCGTGCGTGTGTACCGTCAAATCGGATCTGACTGGTAAAGGAGGAGATTGTCCCTCCTTTCCTGGCAGAGCATCTGGTGGATTTGAACCGTGTGCCTCTGGAATTGCAGTGCAGCTTCTTGCCACTAGGCCACCAGAACTTGCCCATGGGTCATCTTTAAGATGTTGCACACTTTAAAAAATTGATGACCGTGCTTAGAAACATGTGCAGGATGGCTATAGCCGTCATTTGCCGCCAACATGTTACATATGGCCCTTGCTCTACTGAAGTATATCCTTAACATAATAAAGCAGTAGAATTCTCCTATGCTAGAAATACAGAAATTTTACAGGTCCAAATATTTCAAAGTAGAAAATTCCCATTTAAATAAACGTTGTATGTCTTTCAGGACTTGGCAGATGAACTTGCACTTGTTGATGTCATGGAAGACAAATTAAAGGGAGAGATGATGGATCTCCAACATGGCAGCCTTTTCCTTAGAACACCAAAAATTGTGTCTGGCAAAGGTTGGTGACAATAAGATTCTCCTATAGCCTTTCTTAGATTTATTTCATCAGATGGCAATACTAGCTAGCGCTTTAAAGATTTTCTTTTTTGTGTAGGAAGTCTCAGGCATATGGAAAGCATCTGCAACAGAATGTAATTAATAAAGTTCCCAACCTTCTTGTCCATCTTTAACTGCATTGCTTCAAATACATAAATGCCTTGTACCTCCACTTCTTTTTATACAGTAACTCAAGATTGAGTTCTAGGTCAATTAGCTTTTTTTTTTTTTTTTAACAGATATTCTTGATTTAAATCTTTCATACTGAAAATCTAAGAACCCTATAAATGGACCCAAATAAGGTCTGTTGGGTTGTTAGGTTTTTAAAAAAATTTCTAAATTTTACCTATTTCATTGAGACTATACCCATGCAAATATGAATTCAACAGTTTGTATAAATATAGTGTCATTGATTACATTCTTTAAGTTGTGTGTCCATTTCTCACCCTCCTTTTCCAAGTTGTTCCTCATTAATTCACTGTCCCTTCAGGTTTTTTTTGTTTGTTTTTAGTTGTTACTTTCATTTCTATGCATATAGTTCTGAAAAAGAGATGAATGCTTATTGTAGATGTTTTTTCTCTAATTAAGCTCAGCTGTGATTTGAAGAAACTTTAGGAGATCTTTTTGGTTTACAGTGTAAAAAATTACCTTAGGGCAGCAGTTTCAAGGGCTCATCCAGCCTCCATAATATATTATGATATTTGAATATCTCTGGCCTGTTAATATACAGGAAAACTCCCATCATTCTGGGTTAGCCATCCAGTGCCACAGAGTAGGTAGAAACAAAAACATGGTCGTTAAGAATAAAGGTTCCTATTAACTTTTTTTTTTAAATAAGCCTGTGCCTGAGCTACTGTGAAAATAGTTACATGGTTCAGTAGAAATAGGCACCTGTAAGAGTATAAACTTTGAGTCCAGGTAGGACAGAAACCAAACCACCATGAGAATATATAGGAATTGATTCCAGTTCCCCTCCACTTGTAGTTAAAGTCACACCATTTAATGTCACTAAAACTAAAGTGCCTAGAAGTTGTTGACATACTCTACCTGTTTAACCGGCCACATTAATAAAGAAGATATATGCGGGAGACAGTGGGGATACTTAGCTACTACTTGCACAATACATTGATGAAAATGATCTAAGAATCTTAAGGAACAGGGGGCTTTTTATAGTTAGGTAAAGACTTTGCATGAAGGCCTTAATGTGGTATTTTTAATTTTTTTTCCCCCTCTAGACTACAACGTAACTGCAAATTCCAAGCTGGTTATTATCACAGCGGGAGCACGTCAGCAGGAGGGGGAAAGCCGTCTCAATTTGGTCCAGCGTAATGTGAACATCTTTAAATTCATCATTCCTAATGTTGTCAAGTACAGCCCAAACTGCAAGCTGCTTGTTGTTTCTAATCCAGGTGAGGATTAAATTGTTAGAATAAAACTGAAAATACATATTATATTCTGTATCTCATTGCTTTTGATTTGGAACCTACTCTGAGCTTGGGTTTTCAAGGCTTAGCTTGTGCAAGAGTGAAGGTGTGGCCTTTGGGTAACAGCACAACTCCCTATAAACTATACCACCAGAGCTCCCAAATATTCTGTTTTAAGTACATTATTTATATACTTGATTTCTCTCCTGGGAATTGATTGAAAACAGTAAAGGGGACAGTTGGAACTTAAAATTAGTTGTTTGTCTAAAGAAAATTTTTGGAATGGAGTGAGTTTGTGGATAATGTATTCTCAAAACTGATGCAGTGTATTTTCAGAAAATTATGTTTCTGAAATACTTAATGAATTTTCTATATTATACATAATATAGAGGTTTTAAAAGCCAACAAATACTGATTAGTCATATCATTAATTAGTAAGATTCCTGCATAACCATGTATCTTGTTAGCCAGATAATGATTGACTTAACTATCTTTGCCTAAATATTTCTTTTACAGTGGATATCCTTACCTATGTGGCTTGGAAGATCAGTGGCTTTCCCAAAAACCGTGTTATTGGCAGTGGATGCAATCTGGATTCAGCGAGGTTCCGTTACCTAATGGGGGAGAGGCTGGGAGTTCACGCATTGAGCTGTCATGGCTGGGTCCTTGGAGAGCATGGAGACTCTAGTGGTATGGAGACATTTTGTTTTTTAAAGATTCTGGTAGAAATTGACAGAAGATGATTTATAGAAATGCATCTTTTTAGTAGAATTAAATAGTATACTATGAAAACTATTAATACTTGTGCTATTTTGTATGACATTTCATGTAGGAGAAATGGAGAATGAAATTTTTTACTTTTTACCATATTTTACTAGTTACCATTATATTGGAGAAGACTATAGTACTTAAGATGACTTGAGTCATGTAGTTCAACTGATTTGAACTACCTGGTCTTGAAGGCTAGCCATAGCTAACCCAAATGGAGTAGATGTAACCTGTCAAGAAAAGCCTGTTCTGTCACAGCTGAATGATAGTCCTAGAAAATCCTCCGTGTGATCTCATGCTATCTTTAATCATGCTCTAATCTTTATATTTCACTAATATAGAAATGAAATAGCCATTAGATCTAGGAAAACAGGTTAAGATAGAAAATGCTTAGTTTTATATTCCTTAAACAAAAGAATCTAATCTAAAAGTGAAAATTTTTAAGGACTGTGGTAGCCTTGATGCTCTATTAAATGGGTAAGCTTCCCAAATAATAATAAAGGAGAGGTTGAAAAATGGCCCAGAATTTTAAAAAGATGGGGAGAAAGGACTAGTCTGATATGTGGAAGTAAGTGTGTTCTGCCCTGTTTTTTTTGTAGTGCCTGTATGGAGTGGAGTGAATGTGGCTGGTGTCTCTCTGAAAAATCTGCATCCTGAATTAGGTACTGATTCAGATAAGGAACAGTGGAAAGAGGTTCACAAGCAGGTGGTTGACAGGTAATTGATCTCACAAGATACTCAATAAAATTATTTTCATTTACAAGAAAAATGTTAATATAGTTTATACATGACTAGCTTGTTAGAAAATGGTTTCTTAAGCTTTGTTGTTAAAGAGCATACTGTGAAACAAACAGAAAATTAAAGATATTAGTTAGCCTTCAGTCTGTCACTTTGGCACATAATTCTTAATTTGTATTCTGCTAAATCTATGTTTAGTGTAAACTATGATGATAAAACGAGGTATAGGCTAAGTAAGTCAGTCTTCAGCATGTAAGAGTCAGTTGAGAATATCTAAGTGCCTGTTGTAGTCTGAATAGAAACACAGGTTCTTATCATTTAGGTTATAAAGTTTTAAGCATTCATGGTGATACTAAAAATATAAATAGTTCATAAATGTGAGAAATTGTTGAAATAGAGAAGCTTTGAACTTTATGAAATTAACTGTATAAACCATGTGTGTGGACTTCAGATCATTTATTTAGAAAACTGAATAATGAATCATAATTCTTGGGTAATGACATATTTTTGTGATTGATCTATGCAAAGCCCTTTTGTTGTATTTCTCCAAGTGATTTTTAAGATAATGGAACCTGTGATCCTAACCAAGAACTGCAACACTTGACAGTGTCTTGTCAACAAATGAATAGAATTTGTCTGCTTAGGATTATTTTGCTGGTGATTAGAAAGAAATGAAGGTCAAGTTACAAATATACAAATAGTTAATACAGAAAATTTAGGAGTAGTATAATTAAAGTGAGGAAAAACATGCCTGCTATTACCATTCAGTACTGTTCTGGAAATTCTAGTAAGATTAAAAACTTTAATAAAATTTACAAACATTGAAAACAGTTAAATTTTAAAATTTTATTAGTTATTGTGTGTGTACCATCAAATTGGATCTGAGATTGGAAGGAGATTGCCCCTCCTTCTCCAGCAGACCATCTGGTGGCTAGAATCATACTTTTCAAAATTTATTTTTATTGTGATTTGAGTATAACTTTACAAATCATACTGTTTTTTTAAATGCAAACATTCATAAACATTTTGTCATATAACACTAATTATAATTAATGAATGTAAATATTACCTTTCCTTTCACTCATTTTAATAAATGTTTGTTAATTATTACTCTTTCCTTCCATTCTCATTACCGGTAAATATCTGAGAATGGAGAATATTTTCTTTTTTGGTTCATGTAGTTACAGTGCACCTGTTTTGACAGCTATGTAATAGTTCATTGTAAAAACATAACCACAGTTTTTCTGTTGGAGGGTACAGAGCTTACTGCCAGATTTTTTTCCTTACACAAGTATACGAGTGTATTGTATTTATGTAAGCAGTCTTTTTTGGCATTGTAGCAATTATATATAGTACATTCACTAAATGCTTTGTTTTTCTTTCTCCCTGCTTCTTTCTTGCCATACACTGCCGATCTCTATAGTGCCTATGAGGTGATCAAACTGAAAGGCTATACCTCCTGGGCCATTGGACTGTCTGTGGCAGATCTGGCAGAAAGTATAATGAAGAATCTTAGGCGGGTACATCCAATTTCCACCATGATTAAGGTAGGTTTACGTTTACTGAGTGTTTATAGGTGGTGTATTTTGCTAAAGAAAAGATCAGTGATTTGAATCCACTAGTCATTCTGTAGCAGAAAGATGGGGAATTATGCTTCCATGATTGTTTACAGCCTTGGAAACACTAGGAGGCTTTTGTATCTTGTTCTGTAGAATCCCTATTAATCATTATTATCTTACAACAATGTGTGGCTTGGGGTTTATGTTATTATATGCTTTATATTTGAATATCATTTTTGTTACAGGTTCTTCTGAGAAAGAAATTAGATTAAATATCAATTATTGATATAGTTAGTGAAACTAATTCATGCATGTATACTTTTGGTTAAGGAAAAAAATGACTGAACTCAGGGTTAATGTTCAGCACCTAAATGATAACATTGCCAAAAATTTCCTCATTTAATTAATATTGAGGTGGGTGGAAGAGTACAAAAGAGAATAAAGCACAATGTTAGAGTTATTAAAGTGTTACACAGTAAAAGGTGGAAGGTACTGTAGGTAGGAATAATTGTAACTCATGTTTCCTTTTAGAATGGAATTATTGTTGCTAGTTAATAGCTTTCTTTTATACTGTTTCTTAACTGAAAATCTGGAGAATTTCTGCTTACTAAATTGTATTAAATAAGCTTCATATTAGGGAGGATAAGACAAAGTGGTAAACTCTCATTTTTCCCCCTCAGGGTCTTTATGGAATTAAAGATGATGTCTTCCTTAGTGTTCCTTGCATCTTGGGGCAGAAT